CAGGGCGACCCAGGAGGTGAGGGGTATCGCCAGGAAGGCTACGTGGTGAATGTTGGGTTTTCGCAGTGTGATGAGAACTATCTGATATGCGATTGATGCTGAGGTGTAACGGCGGTATAATGCTGGTTGTGCCGAGTCGGCATCAGGTCATCTGGTGAGAATATCTGTGGTTGGGGACAACTACTTTGAGGTACGTTGCACCTAACCTTATCTACCCTCTTCGACACTTCTTACCGTGAGGATGTGTTTTCTGTCTTGAGAGTCCTCTCATGTGAGGAGTCGAGTGCGCTCAACCTTGAGAGTCGGCATTGTTCAAGTGGAGCATCTGGAAGGAGAGGGCGGAGCTATCTGAAGGGCCCTGGACGAAGCACTGGGTCATGGTCACCATGCCAACCCACCGGGAGTAGAGCACGCATGCTTTCCTGCTTTGTCCTTTGTCTGCTTGCTGCGCTGATAGATGGGTAATGAGGGGCAGGCCAGCCCTACCGGGGAGAGGAGAACCGGGCGTCTATAAATAAACACTGGCGGGTTACCTTCCATTGGCAGTGATCGTCGTCCTGTCTCAAGGTTAAAGAATTCCTGAGGACTGGGGGGCCGGCCTTAAACACCTCCTGATCAACCAATCGGTCAGTGTAAGGCTCGATGCACGCGAGGATAAACAATGTGCAGGGCTGGCCAGCTCAGCATACACTCGGGGCACAGGGGCGGGCCGTGTGCACACCTTTAAACACGCACACTGTTCTGGATTGCTCAGGGACGCTAACGTCAAGTGGCCATCGAGAGGAACTGAGGGAGGGGTAGATTTCAGGTGATAAGTTTGTGTTTCAATTCCACTCTGCAGATATCCACACAGATGATCCTATTTTTATTCTTGATTAGTTAGACGGACTGCCATTGACATCTGACAGACAACATTAGGTAGTTTTGCTCTCTGTTCGTGGACTAATTAAGTAAACATAGTTTCGTTTGTAGGAATCTGAACTTACCTGCTGACCCGAATGTGTAGACTCTGACATAGCCACCAATTATTTATTTAATTATTTTTAAATTGGTCTGGGCACTATGCTGCGGAAGGCATTTAGTCTGACCTAGTGCATATTGTCCAGTTCTGTAGCTTATGAGTGATAGGGAGGAAACTAGAGAGGACGACAGGATCCTGCGATCAGCGAGACGCCCGATAGTCCACTTGGCATTAGGACCAGAGGGCGACAGATTCATATTTCGCCAGCAGAAAGAAAGGCAGCAGCAGCAGTGAAGAGCTAGGGCCGCAGAGGCAAGCAGGGCACTCTCAACCGAGGCCGCTACTTCAGCAGCCATGGCAATTGCTGTGCAGTAGAGCTCTCAGGGACTGTAAGATCAACAGTCGCACACACCCTGAGTCAGTCCACTGGCGTCATGGCAAGCTGGCCGTTAGTTCTGACTCCCGAAGAGATCGTCATACGACAAGCAGATGCTCAAGAGGCACAACTACAGAGGGCTTTAGGGGAGATAAAGGCAGAGAAAGAGAGAATGATTAGGAGAAGAGCGAGGTACGCAGCGGAGACAAGCGGACATTAGTGAGTTAGAGGAGATGTCTGACAAACGTGGATGATGCTGTGAGGACCCTGAGGACGGTCTTGCTAGATGTAGTAGAAATGCAGGATCACCAAATGGCGCTCTTACGGAACATCCAACAGAGCCTGGCCGTGCTGGTCGGGCGAGCTCAGGCGACACCATCACCATTAGGGCCCGGTGCCTGGCCCATGGTACAACCTCCTCCTTCTATCCCACTGGTGACTGAGGTCTCCCCATACATAGCTCCGCCATCGATACAGGCCGCTTCCCTAGGAATGCCTTTGACAGGAGGGTTCTCAGCAGGTCCGAATGTACAGATTCCTGTACAGACATTGTATTCCTAAACTTCGCTGCAGGTTGCCGTAACTGGGCCGCGTGCTGTCTCGCAGCCAGCACAACAGCTGGGCACACAACCCCAACACCTGTTAGTGCATCAGCCTGCAACCCCGCGTCCACAACCAAAAGTGGGGTAGGTACCGGGACAAGGCCAGTGGGTTCCAAAGACGACCATCACCTCATCCAAACCCTTTTCAGGGGACCAGAGGGGTGAAGATCTCAACACATGGTTGAGGTCAGTGTCGGTCTACATTAAATGCAAGTTGAACTTGCCACACGAGGAAGTGCTTGTGGCTGCCTCCTACCTTGAGGGGAGTGCAACAAGATGGTTGAGTGGGTTAGTGCAGCTACAGAGGTACGGACATGACTTCCGCTCTTGGGCAGTCAACCAGAATCTGGAAGACTTTCTCAAGATGGTGGAGGACAGGTGGCATGATCCTCAAGAGGCCCAGAAGGCCACTGATGCGATCCTGACTTTGAGCAATAGACCGTTCAAGTCAGTGAGGGATGCCACAGACGTTGTAGAGCGTTTGATCTGTGTTCCTGGAGTACGCTATGACCCCCAAGTCTTATTGACAACTTACCTAAGGTGTCTTCCCATGCCACTCAGGAACCAATTGGCAGGAGAGGCTAACATCAATGTGCACAACTTCCCTTCGTTTAGCAAGAAGGCCCTAGACCTGGATGCAAAGATAGGGCATGGGCACCAACCCACTACGAACGGAAGGAAGAAACCACTGCCTCCCAATTGGAAGGCGAAGAGTCGCATAATGTTCGTTGACAACAATGGATCCACCATCGAGTTAGACGACAACTTCCATGAGGGAGTAGGTGCAGAGGCGGGCAACATAGAGGCTTCAGGGGGTGGAGCAGTCGCTTCCTTAGTCTAAAAAGGCAAGGCGACCGGTAGACACTGTGGAGGCTCCCGGTCTAGGAGTCTTGACCCCAATGCTCCTCCATGGAAGAAAGCGGGTCTCACTGAATACGTGTGGAGAGATCAGTACACTCGGCAGGGTTGTATCTATTGTGGCCAATATGGCCATAATCAGTTCAAGTGTCGTAACAAAAAGGTGACCGAAAAGACCCCGCCTACAATGGGGTAGGTGATGGGATCCTCCGCTTCCGTGGGTAGCAATGTTGCCAGTAGTTTTGGAACTGCTCCGGGAAACACGTCGGGCGAGTAGGAATGGTAGTTGTTCCTGCTAGGGTCGAGGTGGTGGACACACCCTCACCATCTCGAGAGATGGCCCAAGCTACCGACTCCAATACCATCCCGCAAACACATTTGGACCCTACGATCCTCTGTTCGTTGAATGTGTTCAAGTCCTTAGAGGAGCTAGAGGAGTGGTCTAGATCAAACCCGCTAGCTTCTTGAACGACTATAGCTAAGGCTCCTAAGGGTGAGTTATTCGTCGGTGAGATAGTCATCAGCGGCCGCAAGGCCGAGGCCTATTATGGCACTTGCTCGACGCAAGACTTTATCAGTCGCGCGTGCATTGAGAGGCTGCGCTTAGAGGGGCAAGTGCAGCGCCTGAGTCGACCTGTGCAGTCGACCTGTGCCAACATGGTAGTCAATGACTACCTTAAGGATGTAGAGTGTTGTTTCCCGTACGCGGGAGGGGAACAAAGACATCACGTCTCATTCCTAGTCAGCGATGATCTCCCAATGGACATCCTGTTGGGTATGTACTATCTTTCGATTGCACAGCCCCAGTTTGACTGGGACCGAAAAGTGGTCAAACACACTTTGCCCGGTGGGGGGACCACCAGATTATGTAAGTTTAAGGCTAGTAGTCCGATCGAGTCCTATGGGTGCATGTGTGCGGTCGCGTTCTACAATTATTATAAGCATAATCCGGAGGAGGGTATGTATCTAGTTTATGTCTCTGCAGCAGACGAGCCGGTGAAAATGTCGTCGGAGATAGAGGGAGTAGTCGCTAAGTACCCTGATCTATTCGAAGAGCCGAAAGGGGTTGTTGAGAGGGAGGTCGTCCATGCGATAGAGATTATCCCAGAGTCTAGCATTTCGAAGGGTAGGATCTATCGGATGTCTCCAAGTGAGCTTGATGAGCTTTGCCGACAGCTCAAGAAACTCGTAGAGAAGGGTTGGATCCGGCCGAGTGTCTCCCCTTATGGATCTCCAGTCCTATTTGTACCTAAGAATGGGGGAACTTTGAGGATGTGCATTGACTATAGGGGCCTCAATGCCATCACCGTCAAGAACAGAGAGCCCCTACCGCGTATTGACGACTTGTTGGACCGAGTGCAAGGGTGCCGGTACTTCAGTAAGATAGATCTGAAGTCCGGGTACCATCAGACTGCAGTACGACCTGAGGACCAACACAAAACCGTTTTTCAGACCAGGTACGGTCTGTACGAGTTTGTGGTGATGCCTTTCAACCTTTGCAATGCTCCTGGCACCTTTTTTTTTTTTTTTTTTACCCAAACACACACATAAGCCCCATCTATTCTGGGGTCGCAGTCCGGTTGCTAATCACCGGCAAGCAGAAAGACAAAGGTAGAAAAGACCAAAGTAATCAGATGAAGAAACAGGAAAGGGGTCTCCCTCCAGGCAAACAAAAGAGCCTGCGGGGCAGCGCAATGAACCAGATCTTTCATGACCACCTGGATAAGTTTGCCATCGTGTACCTTAATGATATACTTATCTTCAGTAGGACTGTCGAGGAACATGTTGGTCATTTAGACAAAGTCCTTAGTCTCCTTTGGCAGCACAAGTTCAAGATCAATAGCGAGAAGTGCAAGTTTGGTCGCACCCGTATTTTGTACTTGGGTCATGAGATTTCCACAGAGGGATTGAAGCCCGATGCCGCGAAGGTGGCCAGCATTCGTGATTGGCCACATCCTCAGTCAATGACTTAGATGAGGTCCTTCTTAGGGATGACCGACTACTATCGCAATTTTGTGAAGAACTATAGCATAGTTGTCGCCCCTTCGACGGACCTCACTCGCCTTGACACCCCATGGGAGTGGACAGACACGTGTGAGGCAGCCTTCAGACATCTGAAGCATGCTTTGACACACCATGAGGTCTTGAAACTTCCTGATCCTGATAAGCCGTTTATAGTAACCACGGACGCCAGTCAATATGGCATAGGCGTCGTGCTCGCGCAGTAGGAGGGGCCAAAGGTGAGGCCTGTCAAGTACATGTCCAAAAATATCCCTCTCAGAAGTTGGCTAAGTCCACCTATGAGAAGGAGCTTTATGCGATTCACAAAGAGCTAACCCACATGAGACACTACCTCCTTGGGAGGTTCTTCTACGTCAGGACTGATCATCAGACCCTGAAGTGGATGAGAACCCAGCCTGTGCTTTCTGATGCGCTGAAACACTGGATCGAAGTCATTGAGCAGTATGACTTCGAGCCCCAGTACATCAAAGGAGAGTACAACAAAGTTGTTGATGCGTTGTCGCGTAGGCCAGACTTTCTCGGTGCGCTGATTACTGAGTTTGGACTTGCGGACGATGTTACTCGCTCTTTGGTGAAAGCCTATCGCGAGGATCCGTTTATGGCCGAGATCATACGCAGACTCGAGGCGAAGGACAAAGCGACTTCAGTCGAGTTTGAGTTGGTCAACGGCCTGCTGTTTCTTGAGAAGCCCGGGAATAAACGTTTGTGTGTGCCTAATCTGGAGTCTTTGCGTAGTTTCTTTTTAGGTGAGTGCCATGATGCCACCGAACATTTTGGATATAAGAAGACTGCAGCCAATCTGCTGCAGCAGTTCTGGTGGTCCACGATGATGAAAGATGTCAAGCTGTACCTAGAAACTTGTCAAGTGTGTCAGAGGGACAAGCCACGTACGCAGGCCCCTCTTGGGCTTATTAAGCCCCTTCCGATTCCGAAAAGGCCTGGTAAGAGCCTGTCCATGGACTTCATGGACACACTGGTCATGAGCAAGAGCGGAATGAGACACATCTTTGTCATTGTGGATAGGTTTAGTAAGTATGCTAGATTAGTTGCAATGCCTGAAACAGCAAAGACCGAGTACGTCATTAGGCTGTTCAAGGAAAACTGGGTCAGAGACTTTGGGCTTCCAAAGTCTACTATTAGTGACCTGGATGTCAGATTCACGAGCGAGTTGCAGAAGGCTGCATCTGCAGAACAGGGTACACAGTTGCAGACGACCTCCACGAACCACCCAGAGGCAAATGGGCAAGCGGAGCAGCTGAAGCGCGCTGTACAACGCCTGCTGAGACACTACATCAAACCCAATCAGGTGGACTGAGATGAGAAACTTGCGCTCATCGCCAGTTTGTATAACAATGCAATGCACAACGCAACAGAGGTGAGCCCTAACAGTCTGCTGCTAAGTTTTAAACCTAGACTGCCCTTAGATTTCTTACTACCTGAGAACCAGCCTTTTGCTGCACCAGGCACCCTGGAGTTTGCATATCGATATGATGGTCTGATGCAGCAAGCTTTCGAACAGATGCACAGGGCGCAGGCAGCGATGATAGAGTCTGAAAACAAGCACCGCCACCCATCAACATTCCAGGTAGGGGACAGAGTCTGGGTCAAGTCCTCAGAACCGGGACAAGAGCACAGGATATCCTGCAAGCTCATGCCGCAGTACTTTGGACCCTGGGAGGTTCTAGATATCGTCGGGGATGATCCAGATGGGCCGTCCTACGTAATTCAGATCCCTGATCACCTTCACACTTACCCAGTCTATCACGCCTCCAAGCTTGCACCTTTCGAAGAAACCGATCAGTTTCCCTCGCGATGCTCAATGCTGCCCCCAACCATGGATGGAGACATCGACGACATCGTGGATCAGAGGGAAATACCAGTTCCAAAACCTACAGGCAGGGGACGTCCTCCTAAACCGAAGCTGCAGTATCGCGTCTGGTTCAGACATCACCCTGATCCTAAGGAGGATAGATGGCTTACACGGGACGAACTGATGCAGACCACTCCACAGGTTGTCGCCCACTATGAGAAGTTGCTGGAGAAAGGAAAGCGCCAGATTGACTAAAGGGAACTTCGCAGAGGACTATCGAAGTATGGAGGAGGGAATGCGAGGCATAAGGCCCCGATGAGCCCCTTCAAACCCTTCAAGCAGCACACTCGGCCGCCCTAAGTGAAGGCAGGCGCGACCAAGGCCACAAGGCCTATTTTCAGGCTACCACGCAACTGGGGGAAATTCAGGCAGTTTCGCAGCGCCAGTTGGTTGAGAGCGCCCAGGCCCTGGCTGCCTTTTTCGTATGCAACTGAGGCAGGCCCTGGGCCAGATACACAACATGGGCCGAACCCAGGCTTCGGGCAGTTGGGCACAAGCAACCGTCACAGGCCCTGGGCCTGATTCGTTAGGACTGGGGCTCAGCCTCTCGGGTCCTACCGGAAGCTTCTGGGCCGAGGCCCAGCACAGCCTGACCGCACGCAGCTAGCAGGGCACTTCCATTTAGGAAAGGCCCTGCCCCCGCATTCGGTATTCGGGCACTGGCTGCATGCTGCACAAACGCTGCTGCGCTACACGCTGGCCAGGCTCATGCGCTCACGGGCGAGCAGGGAGAGCCAGGCAGCCATAGCTGAGCTGCGCTGCATAGCTGGATGGTTGCGCATGGTGGTCCTTGGGTGCACGTGGCATCTGTGAGTGGGGGATCGAGGTTGTGAGTGATACGAGAGACATACCTGGTGCTTGAGGCGAACGGCATTGGCCGAGTTCTGCTCGTACTTCGGGGGAGCTGTTGACGTCACCAGCGGCATTGTCGATAGGCTAGATAGGATCTGCCATTTGTAGTCTGGGCGCAGAGCGCCAGATAGGATGTTGACATTGGTTCTTCGCTGATGATGATGAGACCATTCCAACATTGTCACTTATGAGCTTTTGCTGTGCTCTTAACTCGTGTTGCAATTCTGCTTTTGGTTCAAGGTCACAACTATCTGGTCTCATGTGTAGGATGCTGCTTGGTTTCTGAAGTTCGCTATCGCTCATTTTCCTTGCACCGTGCACTCTATTCGTAAATAGCACACGTGCGTTTTGTTCGGGGGAAGATTGTAGTGTCCTTTGTTGTTAGAGTAAGAGGGTGTCCTTGTGTGTTTGTAATCCAGGGGTTGCAAAAGAGTGGTTGTCTGAGGCCTTCTTCTTTGTTGGAGGGTCTTCTGACTTTGGAAGGGAATATTTCCCTCCAGGCTTTAAGGATTTCCTTCCAAAAAACCAGCCTGTCGTTTGTTCGTTGGCGATGGATTTCTCTTGGTTCTTTCTTCATGGACGACGACGGCCTTCCATGTCGCTAGGAGTCTGATATGCCGGAATTGCTGGATGCCTGACAATGCTAGTCGTGTACATGGTATGCTTGGTCTGGTTACTAATTTTAATATCTATTTTGTTTGGAGAGCCTTGATCTGAGTTATGGGGTCGATTACTCCTAGACCTCCTTGGCGTTTCTTACGCGTTACGTATTCCTGGGCTACTTTGTTGATGAAGTTCTGCTTGGATGGCTCCCCTGTCCATAAGTAGGCTGTTGCTTTCTTCTTGAGTTCGTTTAGATTGTTACCCAACATAGATGTTAGAACACATGGATTTAATCAAGCAGGTGTTGTCTTGCTGAAGTTACCGACTTGAAGAAAAATTATGAAGTTAAACATGTGTTTTCTGTTTGGGGTACAACTGTGTTTTCTGTTTCAAGTACTATACGGAGAATTGTACCTGCATGTTAGGTACACACACACGCACACCGTCACAACATGGTGACAAATCCGTGAAAGCCTGACAAACATTCTTGTACAGTTATGCTTTCTTCTGTGGAGTTGTGTATAGCAAACATAATAGCACACCATCACACAGTAACAATGTGAGCAGGAAGAGGAGACACCGTATCAGGTACCGGCTTCTACGGTACTGCAAATTTGCAACAGCTCAGCAGCAGAACACATTTCCGGATCTGAGTATGATACAGAGCTGTGCGCCTGCATGTTAGGTACACACACACACACACACAACGACACACCCTGTCACAACCTCCTGAATCCTGTTGAGTCAGACTCCGTGAAAGTCTTACAAAACAGTCTAGTACAGTCATGCTTTGAAATCTCTTTTCTCTCCGAAAGCAATTTTGGGAGGGGAAGAATGAAGTGGCTAATCCTTTTTAGTACTCTTACTTGCGTTCACTATTTCAAACATCGTTTTGTTGAAAATCCGTTGCGGTGTTGATTGATCATACGGTTGTGCTATTTCCTAGGCTGGGCCGCCTCCCGGCCGGGCATGCCTGGCCGGTTGGGCCCAGGGGGGTCCGCCCGGCGAAACCGGGCGACGCAAAAACACAGCAAGGAATTTTTTTATATTTTTTTTGAAGGCGGGGTTGTGCTGCGCTACCCTAGAGGACCACGAATCTGCAATAAAAAAGTTGAGTTGGGGGGTGGGGG